AAGCGCAGCTTGGCGTTCAGGGTCCCACAAGTGCACCTACCTGCGCCAAATGCCGCACCCGTGCACCAGCCGACCGACTGCCCGCGTGAGTCCGCCCGCATCACCCGCCATATCGCTACCAGATCTCACCGAAGAGGTTGGTTCGTCGATTAGTGGACACCGTTCTCTCTTGTCACGGTATGTAGTAGGACGGACGCCAGCGCAATGACACAGGCAGATGCGGCAGAAGCAGTCGGGTCTGCCGCCGCAATATAATTTATGCAAGCGAGCTGTAGGTACAGTAAGGGCTCCCTTCCCGCAGGAAGGTTTACTCTGCCGCGACCCAAGCTCGAACTTTGCCACCGCCGCACGTATGCTAAGCTTCGCATGCGACAGCCCTAGTATTGAGCCATTCACAGCCAGCAACGCAGTCATGGAACCCCAAGCGAGATGAATCGCTCGTGCACCTGGTAGTGGTCCGCGGAAGATCTTCCAGTACAGAATGATAAATTGAACTAATACTACACCGCATTCTGGTATCTCGAGCACGCCCAGCATCGTTCGTTCTTTACGCACAACGTCCAAGATGAAGACCTTCTTTTCGCTTAGCACCATCGTGGCAGCCGTTTCAGCCCAGAATGGAATCTTTGAACCCGCAGACTTCAACATAACGGAAGCCTTGATATCCAACGGCGTCAATGTCTCAGCTATTCCTGAGCTCTCTGGTCTGGTGGAAAGAACTGCATCAAGCGGTTGCTCTATTGCTGTATGTTTTGAGCCGAACACTTCACTCATAATCTAAAGTACTGACCGCTTCCCAGTGTTCCTCTCTGAAGCTGATCTATGGTGTCGATAAGCTCCTGTCTGAGGAGACGTCCGCGTATGACGCCTTTACTGGCAGTTATTGGAGCATTCAACAGGGAACTGTGAACCCAAGATGTGTCTTCAAGCCATCTAACACGATCGAAGTGTCTTCACTAGTTCTTCTCTCTCGCCTAACGCAGTGCCCTTTCGCCGTAAAAGGTGGTGGCCACGCTGCTTTTGCCGGAGCGTCGAGTATTGATGGCGGCATCACGGTCTCGATGGAGCGTTTCAACCAAGTCGCAGTGTCAAACGACAAGAAATATGCCAACGTTGGAGCCGGAACCCGCTGGGTCGATGTCTACAAGGGTGTCGAAAAATCTGGTGTCAGTGTTGTTGGAGGCAGAGTAGGTTACTTCAATTCATGTGTGGGAGACAAAGGCTAAAATGGTTTTAGATGGCTCCAGTCGGTGTTCCAGGACTCGTTCTTGGTGGCGGGATCTCGTTCTTCTCGAACAAGCTGGGGTGGGCATGCGACAACGTTGCTAGCTATGAGCTTGTGACTGCGTCTGGTCTTGTTGTCACCGCAAGCCTAACTCAGTTTGCCGATCTGTACTGGGCTCTTCGCGGTGGTGGTAACAACTTTGGTATAGTTACTAACTTCAAGCTCAACGCCTTTCCTCTTGGCAAGATGTGGGGTGGCCAGCGCATTTTCACAGAGAACAACTTCCCAGCCGTCCTCGACGCTATCTACAAATTCGCTACTGTCGGCTCTTCGAAGGATACCGACGCTGCTGAGATCGTATCATTTGGCAACTACCCAGGGATGGGCAAGATCGCCATCGTTCAGACTCATTACGCCCAGCCCATTGCCAATGCCTCTGTCTTTGATGATATCAACGCTCTCACGCCTGTCATGGATGACACGGGAATTGGCTACCTCAGCGAGCTTACTGTAAAGATGAATGGTGGCTCACCGAACGACACGCTTGGCTCCCTCCAAACCCAATGGGACGCCACATTCAAGGTCGATCGCGAGCTATTCAGCTTCCTTGTCCACACCTTCTACAGCCTCATCCCAGACGTACAAGGTCTTCAAGGCGCATTCCCAACAATCTCCATTCAGGCTATCACTGAAGGTCAATTGAAGGGTATGCAGAAGAACGGTGGCAACGCCCTTGGTCTTACGCCCGCTAAAGGCCCTATCTTCATCATGAACATGAGTGCATCGTTCACCAACGCAGCACATGAAGCAACCATCTTGAAGTTCCTATCTACCATCATCAAGAAGGTCAAGGCAGAGGCAAAAGCCAAAGGCGTGGACAATGACTACATCTACATGAACTACGCGTCCCAGTTCATGGATCCGATCGCTAGTTACGGAGCAGCGAATGTTGAGAGACTGATCGGTGTGAGCAAGAAATACGATCCCGCTCAGGTATTCCAGAACTTGCATCCGGGCCATTTCAAATTGAGCAAGGGAGCTCCGAATCCAAACATGCCATGAAAGCTTTAGCATTGCGAAGCTCGGTATTAAAAGCAACATATAAATTTTAATACATCACGATACATCATATTTGGCTCGTTGCACTACATTACCACCAACTTGGACACGTTCATGACAACGTTGGATTACTTTATCAGCGGTGGATGAAAAGATGACCACCTTCATATATCGGAGCGACGAGCTCTTGGTCAACATTTGCTAATTAACCGATCATGTATGTGAAAATATGCCGCCCGTATTTGGAAAATGCATCCGACAGGACATCGCCTCTGTGGATGCGATATGGAAGAAGTTTACAGCATGGGACTTGAACAAGTCGCGGAGTCCCCATGCATGTTTCAGGTTCACTGACTGCTTAACTAACGAAAGCAATCAGCTATTGAACCAGTCAACGCCCCTAATCATCTTATCACATATGTAGCCAGTGACAAGCGCATATGTCCCCTTATGCAAAATGTCAATGACCTGCTCGTTGATCGGCCAAGTCCACGGAACCATGGAAACATTCGCCGTAGTCTCAACCAACTGATCCAGCATGATGCGAATACCGGTATGCATGAAGACAGCCACCGGCCCGATGACGCCGTAGTACGACATGACCGCTCTGAAAGGTCCAGCAAGCATGCCCATACCAAAGTGATGAGCATGATTCAACAGGAAGGTGTGGCGCTTGTAGAATTCTGGCGAGACACCCATGTGGTTACCCATCGTTCGTGCGGGTACGTAAGAGTCTGGACGGCCTGTGAAGAACTGTTCGACTTTGTTCGATCCTGACATGCTGGAGAAGGTCAGGCATTCGCAGATAAAAGATCAGGTGGCGACTGTCTTACACTAAGGCTCCTACGAAGCCGGCTCCGATACCGATAGCGACCGCGCGACCGAACCCGACCTGCGGAAACTTGGGGAAGCTCGATTTCGCATCTGGATACGAGACCGTGCCGGTCGCGGTGTGGTATTGAGGCATGGCGATTAGACTTTGGATGGAGATGAAGTGGTATGGAATTGGAAAACGGAGGGTGCGGACCGTTGTTGCTGTGTTTTGTTTGCACCTCGCATTTGCGTTGTGACATAACGTGGTCATGAACGAATGACCAATGACTTCGTTCACTTTGACGTCACACATCGTCGGTTTGCCAAATCGTCGGATCGCGCGAGACTGCACGAAGCACAACACCTCGCAGGATTTGCTACACACAAAGAGGCATGCATGATAATCGAAAGAGGAAGCTTCCAAGGTTCGTCGCCATTGGAAATAGGCTTGTTGATCTTACATAGCACCGCGTCAGCGTCGCTAGGCGGTAAGATGCTATTGTCGAACTCAAGTATTGCGACATTATAGACTTGACTACATGAGTTCTCCTGGCTCATTTGGATCGTCCAATGATCTTGAAATTATCCATGCCCATGCCATTTGTGACAAAATCTCCGATGGTGAGCATCCCAGGTCCATATCCATTGCCAACTTCAGCTCTAGTCGCTTGATCTCATCGATATTATCGCGCACAATTTTCATGTGTTTCGCTTTGGCTTCCTCAGTGGGAATGGCGCTTTTGTATTTAGACATCGGTTCCCGCGCTCCGTTGCTTATGACCAGTGCTCCAAAAAGTCTCTTGTGGAGGTCCTTCTTCTTGTCTGCGATCGACTCTTCACGTCTCTTGACCCTGCCTATGGAGAACATATCTTTGATAGTGTCTACCACTTTGTCGGTCGGGCTCAGGACTGTGACTTCACAGTGTTTATCGACGTCCTTTTTTAAGTCGACAAGGATTTTGCGGAGGGTTTCCTAAATGTTTTCCGCTTCGTCAAAAAGCTTTTTTGGCTCCGAATCATTGGCTGTCGAGGCAAGTTCATTCATGATGGATATTGGAGGGCTTGTGGTGGTATTGTCCGTCTTTATGCGGAAACGTGTGTAGGCTCGGAGCGGATTAAATGTATCGTAGGAAAAGGTTTGTATAACTGTTAGCTTTGTTTTCTGTAAGTAATGCTCGATGGTTGTTGCAGACCTATAGCTCATCTAGAGATTTTATATATGTTCTGAGTAATAATAGGACTTACAGTCACGGCCGTGCTGATGCTACCGGTGGTGACATTCTCTGACTCTAGCCTTCCTTGTGGTCGACCCAAAAGTAACATGAAGTCGACTGGGTCATTTATGACCTCCAACTATGATACAGTATACGCTAAGAACGGAGAATTAGTCAACGCTGTATTGGAAGGTACTCACTGAGGAGTTATTTGAGAGCAGCACAGTAGAGGGCATTGTGCCAGGAGAACGGTACTTCGCGTCCTGATGTTAAACTTGGTCTAAGACTCCGTGCGCTGGTATCTGAGTCTGGTGCCTGCCCTGTACGACACGTTCTCTCCAATGAGGTCCGGCATGGCTCCAGCGTCGTGCGACCAACAGCGCTCAAGGAGTCAGACAAGGTATGTGCTCTATCTATGAGCCATTCAAGTAGCTATGGTGCGTAATAGCGGCTCTGAAGTTTCCACTGACCCTGCGATTGGCGCTGATGTCATCGCATGTGAAGGTGACATAAGCGCGCCTTCTGCACTAGTAGGCGTTGTTTAGATCCAGGCAACTTCCTCACCCACCAAGCACCAAGCAGCAAGCATCAAGCACCAAGCATCAAGCACCAAGCACCAAGCACCAACAAACAACAGCTTGCAAGCCACCACAAGCACTCCAATCGCGTCTGCCACAGCGAAGTGCAAGATGTCGTCGTTTCTTGACCTGCCCGCGGAATTGCGCAACCAAGTATACGGTTACATTGCTATACCCCACACAGCACCTCTCTCCTCCTACATCGGGCTCTACCTATCCTGTCACCAGATTCGATCTGAAATGGACGGCGAGTGCTCCAAAATATTCCGAAACTACCTCGAGATCTTCCAGGATCAGCTCCAAGACGCCCGCATCGACATACCTGAGACTTTCGCGGAAATGCAGCACGTCCGCCTGCACTGCAAACCGACTGCAGACTTCAGCATCATTCAATGGTTCGATGAAGTCACGGATATCTGCCTACTCCATCTCGCAAGCCTTTCCATTATCTATGGCTTTCCGGAAGACTCGTCTCTCTCGCATAATGTGGACCATTATCTGCTTTGGCTTGCCGATGTAATGCCGGACCAGCTCAAGACAAGGGTGGTCAACTCTCAGCGGGTTGAAATGGTGTCCTTCTGGGCCTCAGAAGAAGAAGCGAAGGATTTCGTCGATGAATATCCACACCATGAGTTCGTCACCGCAAATTGGACCTTCCTATGGGATTTGGAACTTGACGGTACTCTGCATAGCGTGTGGAAGAAGCCGGATGGCAAGGGACGTAGCGAAGTGCTAGCGAATGATACCATGGCTTAGCGTTCGAGCTTGAGATTGGAACTGATGGCGAATGAGGTTGCATGTTTCGTCATGCATGCTATCCGTACAGAACACACTGATCAGAGCGAGAGGCCGTGGTATTTGCCCGGTCACGAAAGCGTCCGAGCAGTGAGAAAGTGAGCGGCTGGAGCTATACACGCTGATGAAGATGTCTTCATATGCGCAAGACACGTATTCGTAATCTTAGTTCTATACAGATTGCGTTTCATCTCAGATTCCACGATTCTTTCCCTGTTGCAATGCGTGCTTCTCCGCATCTAGACACCCCAGAGCTCAATGTTCATGACCATGATGCTCATGCCCGGCACCCTTCTCAGCGAAGTCGATCTTCCACCCTTTGGTAATAAACACCCGCGGGTCCCTCACCACCGCATACGCAGCCTTTTTACCCTCGGCAGCATGGAACTCAAGCGGCACAGGCTTCTTCCTCTGTGTCTCCTTCTCACCTTCCTGCATCACGACGACCTCAGACTTGTCCTTCCAAGCCTTAGGTGCGCCGACAATGACGATCTTCTCGACGCGCACCTTCTCCATCGTCTTGAGATACTTCTCGCACTTGACAGTACGTTTGCTAGAGTCGAGATTGGAGGAAGTGAGAATCTGGCGGGTGCCGTCGAAGGAGAAGCGGCGGTGGATGAAGGCACCCATTTCATAGTCGAAGGTCTCGCCGTCGTCAACGTACAGAGTACCGGCAGCGTTACCGTCTTTGTCGAGAGCGATGACCAGAGTGAAGGGATCGTACTTCATGAGGCCAGAGGAACGACGAGGGCGGTCGCGGCGTGGGATGACGTGGCCACCCTGCATAAGAAGAGGAATCTTTTCGAGAGGAGCTGGTACAGTGTGGTGCCCAGCGCCGCTGTAAGTGGTGAAGTCAAAGTAGTCGTAGTAGGGCTGGTCGTCCGCGAGGTAGATAGAGACACTATCAGCACCTTCCTTTGTGACTGGCTTGGCGAGAAGACCAGTGGAACCAATGTAGAGTTGGTCGTCGACTTCGAAACCACGCTCGTCGGCAGGGTGGACCCAGAAGTTGGGTCGGATGATAGGCGCACCAGTTGTGTGAGCTTCATGGAAAGCAGTGTACCAGGCAGGCAGAAGCTGGTAACGAAGACGAAGGGCTTGAGTGATGATCTCCGTGTACGGAGAGCCAGCAACGTATGGCTCGCGGCGACGAGTGTCGATATGAGCGTGGCCACGGAAGAACGGGTAGTAGATACCAGCCTGGTACCAGCGAGTCAAGAGTTCTTTGCTTGGGTTACCGAAGAAACCTCCAACATCCGCACCACCGAAGGGGAAGCCAGAGATACCCTGGTTTAGGACCATGGGTATGGAAGCCTCAAGATGACTCCACTCAGCCTGGTTGTCGCCAGTCCACATGGCAGCAGTGCGCTGACTACCGGAGTAGAAAGCTCGGGTCAGCACGAAGGGACGGCGAATCTCGCCCTTCTTGCGTTCGGTGATGGCTTGGTATGTTGCATTGTGGAAAGTCATGCCGTTGATGTTGTGAACATCGCGGTGCTCCCAGTTACCGTGATGCAAGTTGTCCTTGGGCATGGTTGTCTCAGGGCCGTTGAACACCGAGGGCTCGTTCATGTCGTTCCAAATGAAGGTGTTGTGGGCAGTGCCCTTGAACTTGTCGTAGTTGAACAAGCCCTTCCACCAGTCGATGGCAGCCGGGTTGAAGCAGTCAATCCACATGGATGAGCCAGGCCAGCACCAGCCCTCGTACTGCTTGCCTTCCTTGTTCTTGACAGCGAGGTCCTTCTTCCTCAACTCGTCGATGATCGGGTAATCGTTCGTATTCTTGATATGAGGGTCGATGATCGCAACAAGCTTCCTGTCACGCTTGTCGAGCTGCTGCTGCATGCCTTCGGGGTTGGGGAAGGTCAGAGGATCCCAGGTGAAGTACTTCTTCTCCTGTGTGTATTCAATGTCAAGCCAGATGACATCGTACGGGATGTTGAATTTGTCAAACCTGCGGTCGACGTCCTTGACATCCTCATCGGTGACGTAGTTCCATCGACACTGGTGGTAGGCGATAGCGAAGGACTGGGGCATGGCCGTGTAACCAGTCAGCTCACCATACTGGCGAGTGAGGTCCTGAGGGGTCGGTCCGAGGAAGACAAAGACGTCCAGCAGACCACTCTCAGACATCCAGTGCGTCTCAGTATCGGTATGACCCTCAACACCAAGAGCGAGCGGGTTCGCGGTGTTCCTCTTCTTTGTCACGTCGATCCAGGTCTCGGCACCGTTGAGCCAAAAGACACCGACGGTGGAACCCTTGCGATGGGCTTGCATGAACGGGATGGCGCCGTAGAGAGTCATGGGGCTGTCCATCTCGTACTCGAAGACGTCGGCGTTGTATAGTCGGTATGGCTCGGTGTAGGCATTATCGCCGCCCCTAGAGATTGTCAGCTAAGTAGATGTATTCGTGTGGATACCGCGCACCTGGTGGTCTTGAGAGATAGCCTTGTCGCGTGCTCTGGGATACCAAAGACGTGCGCGTATCCAGGGAACGTAATGTCTAGCGCAACAGCCTCAGGGCCTCTCGGCTTGCTGTCCGTGTTGCCACCAAAGCTCTCGTCCCACCATGTGCTTTCGTCCTCTACAGGCTCTTCGGTCTTCTTCACTTCCTCCTTGACTTCTTCCTCGCCCCCCTTCTTCTCCTCTTGGGGCTTCTCGACCTTGGGCCGCCAGTGTTCGACGTTCATGTAGCCGCGCTCATTGAACTTGACTTGGGTCTCGCCATCGCGTTGGAACTCGATGCCGAAGGGCGCGTGGCGGATGACGGCTTGGTGCTTGCTGCCCTTACCGTAGACAACCTTGGTGTAGCCATCTTCCGTCTCGGGGTTGAAAGCAGCGCCCTTGGACGGGTCTAGCCCTCCAACAAGAGTCCATTGCGCCGCCTCGTTGTATCGCTCCTTCCGCGCTTGACTGTCGTGTCGCAGTTGGATGTCGCCCTTGGCCCTCTTCTCTTCGTCAAGAGTGACGCGTGCCACGCCCGATTCGAGGAACGTGACGGTGAGCGGCAAGCGAGCTTTCTCTTCGCCTTCCTTCAGTGTCTTGAGCACGACGGCATCTAATTGGCCATTTTTGAACGTGATTGAGGCAGGGTCGAGAACGTAGGGCGAGGTCCAGGAGCTCGAAGCGGAGACGTCATCGGCGAACTGGCGGTTGCGCTTGCAGAAGCCCGATTGACTGCATGTTTTGAAATTCTCGTGCTTGACCGATACTGATAACTCTTAGTAACCTCCCCGTAGCTTCGAATATATGCGGAAAGAATGCCATCGTGGGTTGGAGATATCGGGGGTGAGCTTAGCTACATACCAGCTGGCACGAACAGGCAAGCCAACAGCGCCAACACCAAAAACACAGCCGTCCACCGGGGAGGCTGCTTCCGTAAAGTAATCATGACAGGCAGCTCTCTAATACACAGAAGCTAGCCTGGAATATCACCAGTCTATCAATCAATCGGCCAGTCCTCGACGCTCGAGATGCCATGTGGACTTTGAAGCAGCGCCAAGGTCAGGGTCCAGCTCTCTTGCACAAATCAGGCATAATTTTATGCAAGCTACCCCACTAGACAACAACGAGGGCGTCCATACCCCACCCCCTTCATAAAATTCCAGCTACAGGTCCGCCTCTCCTTCTCGTTTCCTCCCATCAAGTCGTAAAGACAAATCACTTTTACACAAAAACTCAAACGTCAATTCATCGCCAAAATGACTACCGAGCAGACGTACGTTCGGCATCCTGATCCCACGACGAGGGGCAGCTGAAGGGCGGTGAACGGTATACTGACAGATGAATAGCTTCATCGCTATCAAGCCTGACGGTGTTCAGGTATGTTTCTCTCTCAGTTCTCGAACTTTGTACTCTTCAACCTGTCGACAGTGAATCAATTGTTGCAATGATTCTGCTGTTACAACTGGGACAGCGGGGTTCTCAACAAAAGATAAAAAGCACATATACTAACAATTGCCCAACAGCGTGGCCTCATCGGTCCCATCATCACCCGCTTCGAGAACCGCGGCTTCAAGCTCGCCGCCATCAAGCTCGTCACTCCCTCCAAGGAGCACCTCGAGAAGCACTACGCCGACTTGAGCGACAAGCCCTTCTTCCCCGGTCTAATTGCCTGTACGTTGGCCATGCCGAACGATATATACCCAGTTTCACCACTGACACCATCTAGACATGGGCTCCGGCCCCGTCTGCGCCATGGTCTGGGAGGGCCGTGACGCCGTCAAGACCGGCCGCTCCATCCTCGGTGCCACCAACCCCCTCGCCTCCGCCCCCGGCACCATCCGTGGTGACTTCGCCCTCGACGTTGGCCGCAACGTCTGCCACGGCTCCGACAGCGTCGAGAACGGCAAGAAGGAGATCGCTCTCTGGTTCAAGGAGGGTGAGGTTCAGAGCTGGAAGTCCGCCCAGCACGACTGGGTTTACGAGAAATAGACGCCTCATACAATTAGACTACGAGAGAATGGAGTGAGCTTAGTAGCTACGAGCTCCTGCGACGGAAAGCTGGCCCACGGACTGGCCTAGTAGTCATAGACGCTCTGGGCGAAAAGCTGGCTCTAGACTTCAGGGTTTAGGTGTGGGCTATGAAGATACGATCGCATGAAAAGGAATATGGTAGAAACCAATGAGACACATGAATGATCTCTCAATACTTTATTGACTCGCAAAGTGATGCAGTGCTGCTCATGCTAATGTGGTCCACCAGAGCACGAACGTAATGCACCCAGTGTATCCTACACATGCGCCGATAACATAACCATACCACACTCGGGACGTTCCTCAACGCCGAGCAAAAGCCCACAACACTCATGCATCTTCACCTGCGGGCTCTTTTCCCTTGTCTTTACTCCTCGTTCGAACCCTCGCCTCCTCTTTCTCTGCCAGCTCAGTACCTATCTTCGTGGTATACCAACCCCTCAACTTCTCCACTTCGCGCCATTCCCCTGCACCCTTCTCAACAG